AAGTGAGTAGAAATATGCTTTGAAGCCCAGGATTTTAATTGGAGGAACCCTCAGCATGAGGATCACACTAGAACAGGGGAGTACTGGGTGATTTGGGTGAGGGGAACACTTTTCCTGCCATTTGGCTGCAGTTTGTAGGGCAAGAGTGCGGAGGGATCTCGGCCCGAGATCCCAAACGGGTCGGGTTCGGGCCCAAAAATAGTACCCGAACCCAACCCGACATTTATGTTGGGTTGGGTCGGGTCGGTTCAAAATTGAATATATGCTGCCCAGACCCATACCCGTCTTGGGACTTTTCGGGCTCGGGTCGGCAGTTTGCATGTCGGGTTCGGGCCGACCCGAGTATTTTAGCCTTTGTAGAGCAATTATGACAAAAACTTACCTGCCCGACTATCAAAACACCTGCCCGAACCCGACCCGCTAAGCTTCCGGGTCGGGTTCGGGTCATGTGATTTTCTCACAAAGTCTGCCCAAACCCAACCCATGACCCGTCGGGTCTCGGGTCGGCTTTGGGTCGACCCAACCCATTTACACCCTGAATCTCGGGGGACCTAGCTAAGTTCGGTCAATACCCGGGACCGGGGGCCGGAGTACACCATTGTCAGTCAGCTGAACCAGCTACGGCCTTCATGTGATCCCGTCAAGTCGCCGAGCAGCTCACCAGTCTAGGTATGGTGTTGCAAGCCAGTCTGGGCACTGGCACAAGTTGGACGAAAAAGAGGCCAAGCGGGCTTGGCCGATCCCAAACCCCGCGTGGCACCCTCTAAACCCAACTTGGCCTGTACTCAAGCCTGGCTTGGCACCTCCCAAAGTTGGGGTGGGTCGGGCCAAAGTCTAGCTTGGCCGAGCCCAAGTGAGAGTGCCACCCAGGCCAAAACCAATGAGTGGTGCTGGTTGGTGTCGGGTGTGGTGGTCGGGTCGGGTTTTGTGGTTGGTGGTTCTGGTGAGCCCAGAGCTTGGGTTCGGCCAAGCCAGACTTGGGCTTGTGCCAAGATCCGGGCCACGCGCGAACTTCCAACTCAAGCCCCCTGGGCAATGGCCCAAGCCCCGGTGACACTTGGACACACGGGCCTTGGGCCAGTGCCCAGACTGGCTTGCAACACCATATACACATCTGATCGAATCGTCCCAGTAGCTAACTTTGCTGTTCTCGTTTGTCACAGTCGCTTGTTTTTCCTCTTGAGCTTATTTTCGCCATGCTCTGCTTGCCCTCGACCTCGGCGAGAAGTCTTTCCGCTTCCATAACAAAATTCGATCAGTCAAGGCTATCTCGTGCGATGTCGATGGAAGTACACGGGACCAGATTTGGCAAGCCGCGGAGACCGATTCGAGTCATGGAAGTCTCGCCTCGTGATGGTCTCCAAAACGAATCTGAAATTCTTCCCACAGAACTCAAAGTTAAACTGATTGAAAAACTAGTCGATCTCAATCTAAATTCTATTGAAGTTGGAAGTTTCGTGTCTCCTAAGTGGGTTCGTCATATTTTCTTGAATTCACCTGGTTTGGATGATACAGATGTGTTGTGATCATTATTTTCATTTTTACCGCAGGTGCCTCAAATGGCTTCTACCCCGGAAGTCATCTCCCATCCCAGTTTGAAGAATGCCAGGAAATCCACCCCTGTTACTTTCAGTTGCTTAATCCCTAATCTCCGTGGTTTTGAAACATTCGAAAAATCAAATTCAAGTTCGGACGAGAATCGGGTTCCAGTTGTTGATGAAATCGCTTTATTTGCTTCTGCCACCGAAGGCTTCAGCAAGGCCAATATCAACTCAAGCATCTCGGAGTCCATAAATAAGATGTCGGAGGTAGCGGGACGGGCCCAAAGGCGAGGAGTGAAGATCCGAGGATATGTCAGCTGCGCTTTCGGTTGTCCATATGAAGGGAAGGTTGATCCGAGGAATGTGGCGTCTGTGACGCAAGAACTGCTCGATATTGGATGTTACGAGGTCGCAATATCTGACACCATTGGTGTCGGGGTGCCCCGTCAAGTAGAAGAGTGTCTCAATCAGCTTGCACGATCGGGTATCCATTTGAAACAACTAGGAGTTCACTGCCACGATACGTTTGGAACCGGATTGTCAAACATTTTGACAGCTGTTGAACTGGGCGTCCAGACCGTAGATTCAAGTATTGGTGGGATCGGAGGTTGCCCTTATTCTCCTGGTTCCACTGGAAGTTAAGCACCAATCATCCTGCCTGAGTCATACCTAATTTGTTCATTTTTGCCTCTCAAGCAGTCACATTGAAATTGGGACATGATTTCGCCGAAACCAGATATCGCGACCGAGGATGTGATTTATGCTTTAGAGTCTTCCGGTTATCACACTGGCATGATCACCCCACCGCTGAAGCCGGAGGCGGAGCTTGGCAATGATGCCGATTTGTTGCTGCGATTGGAACCTCTTGCGAGAGCCGGTGCGTGGATCAATGCTCAACTCCGCCGAGACAATTCGAGCAGAGTTGGTAAGGCTGTCCTGGCAAGAGCGCAAAAACGTAACATGAAAGAGAACGCAAATCAATAATCCTTCCATCGAAAACTTGGTGCAGTTTAAAAGAATTGCATGTCGTTGAAGCCTAAGTAAAACGCAAGTGATAGTGTTCTCTCTTACTGCGACGCATATGTGCCATGTAGTTTTATGGCACATCCTAATCATATTTTCCTCATGATGTCAGAACTGCTACTCATCCGCTAGTTTTCCATGTCAGTACTTCTTGTACTCTGTACCATTATTGTTCCTCATCAGTTGAAGCGATTCTTCCGCATGTCATTTTTATATGTATTTATTATAGTCTGGTGTACAGTTTATCTCGGATGTAACAGCAAGGCTCGTAAAAGTTTGCCCTTATGCTAATTGAAACTGGACAGAAATATGTACCTAGTTTCAAATAATGAGAGCGGCTCTTTGCGCAACTTAGACTCAGATCACTGGTTCCCCCACTTCGTGTGTGATTGGCCTTGATCGGCATCCTTTCTGTATCTCCTTCTTATCAACGTAGTGTTCAATGCCAAATTTGCATAGGTTTGTTGGTATTTCAAGATTTCGGATAAACCAGTCTCACTAATCTATTTTACGTATTTGTTGGTTTTAAGTTTCATCAAACACACCGTACTTCACTCATGCTTTGCTATGAAGAACGTGCATTGTTTGCCGTCAACCTTTTGACCTAAGCATACCTTTTCTTTTGAAATGATCACTTTTGTTTCTTGTGTCTTGCACCATGGAAAGGTTGCTCTTCCCTTATGATGTCATTTCTGATATTGCACGTAGCAAATGGGATTGGCCTGTATCTCACTAAAACACCTAGCAAGCAAGTTACTAGTACTACTATCATGAGGTGTAGTTGCTACAAGCTTCCATGGACCTTCTACTTTGTGTCAGACAGTACACCTGATGAATCCAATACGATTTCCTTCATAAGTAGACTCATTGACACAAGTTATGCGTATTTACATAAGTAAATAAATCAAGTTTCAGTGCACAAGTTCAAGTGAAAGTATAACGGCCTACAGCACAGCTTATAAGACCTTTTGGCTTGCTTCGTATGTCTACGACTCCCCTGTTACTAAACCCGCACAGTCACTCCAGAACGTAACCTTGTCCTTTCAGTTGAACTAAAACATAGTACGGAATGCGCCAACCAATATGCTGTTTTCTTTTTCTTCATACCCTGGCGCATCCCTTCTTCGCTAGTATCTCTGCCAGACCTACCTTTCCTGGCGTTTATGACCCACCTTTCTTGGCTTCTGGCGCTGCTCGATTTCCCGGCGACTCACTAGATAGCTGTGGTACTTTAGATAGTATGTGGAAGCGACCAAGAGTCGACAACCCCGGAACATCATTTCCTCATGGCGATTCCCCTCTATTACCCGAGCAGGATGATAGGAATCTTTGTTACGAACGTGAAGTGCGATTAAACCTTAATCTGAGTTTAATTCTCTTTTTTTTTTCAAGGCCTGATGGCCTGCCTTTGGTATCTCTAGCACGGCAACCACGATTCTGGCCTCCTTGAATGCGTCGTTGGCCCTTCATTTTCTGGTAGGCCCTCGAAGCTTCCGAAGCTTACGACTGATCACCCTTTGGAAAATATGGGACAAGTCTGGCAAGCCATGCCCTCGGAGCAAGACACAGGTCCGCAGCAAAGAATGCATCTTACTATTGCAAACTTGCGTTTTACGGCAAATGTTTAAATATGTACTCTGAACTTTCTGATCACGCACTTTCTTTTCTCCGGAAAAAATTACCTTTATCGATTGATAAGGTCTGCTTGAAATTAATTTCGAACCAGAAACTCAGGAAGAACACGAAAGCATTTGGGAATGGGACGCAGCTCAAATTGAGGGCCTTCTAGGTGAGTGACCAACAGTTGACCCCCTTTGAAAAGAGAAAAAAAAAAGTTTAGGCAAATGAAAACGTCTGGCTTGTGCTCCCAATCCTAGACAACCTTTTCGACGATGGAGTGAATTCGATTCATCATTTTTGGAGAGATCCGCATCAAGAAACATTGGATTCTCTGGCAACCAGTTCTCGATATGATCAAGTGACACCCTCCAGTGTCCTTTCTTACCAGGTCAGTTCTCTACTCAAAAATTTGTGCCAGCAACTGGCATTGTCGCTGTCATCTCATCCTCCGGATCATTTTTGAAAGACTGGAGGTCATGCTCTAGATTGGGATAGTCCAAGGATTGTCCATTCACCCTTGGGAAGTCACCCTGTTCATCAAAAAGCAGTTGGAAGCTCCAACAATGAGAGAGGGGAACCTATTGCAAGTGTTTTTCCGAAATACGGAAATGAGATGGGTGTTGTGCCTGGAATGCCGATTGATCCGCCTGGATTGGGCTACCCGAGCACCAAAGATCAACATAACATACCCTTTCTATACAGTTGGTCCGAGCCAATTACAACAGTTCATCCCCTTGCAAGCCTAGGTGAGTAAATCTTAATTTCCCTCGAGTCTCTTGAAACACGACCAAAAACCAATCTCGTCTCATTCTGGCAATACTGTTGGTTAAAGGCTCTCCTGAACATGCAATTTCTCAACTTGAAGGCTTAGCTGGCACCTCTAAACCTTTTCACACAAGTTGGATTGATCCACGCTTTATCCAGGGTCACTTGGAAAAGTTTGTAGAAACCCTTAATTTCATGATCAAAACAATGAAATCCGGAAAACCAAATTATGATCCACCTTGGGTGATACTTCATCATGAAGAAACACCAGTAAACCAAGAAACCAAGGATGTCATACCTTCCACCAATGAAAATAGCACAATTCTCTCTTTGGTACCAAACTTGGCTTCGTCGTTCTTATATTTGGTCACCCATACAATTCACTACAATGTTGCCCTACTTGACAAAATGCATTCAAACCTGGATTCTGTAAAAGACACTGAAGATCTAATATTTTGGTTGAGGAACTTGATTTTTTGGCGCTCCACACAAAATTTCATCAAGGATGGATTTGAATTGCCCGGATTTCCTGGTGATACAGGTTTTGGAGATCTACCAAAACAATTGCATGCATATTTTGCTAATTATAGAATTGATGGAAAATTTCTTCCTAACATTGTCTTCAATATCATCAATGTTTGGCATAGCCATAAGCCTGGACTTGGGAAAAAGCTCTTTGGAAGTCAAGAAGCTCAACGTTTTGCCAAAGAGATACTCACAGACAACGAAATCAATGCAGAAGTTATGAATTCCATCTCACAACTCCTAGCTCAACCATTACAACTTGGCAATCCAAGTCCATTCACCTCAAATTTGAAACATCACTTGGCATTCTGATCATTTCATTTCATTTCACTTTACTATCTTTTTACTTCATTCAATTCATGGGGATTCCATTTTCTACTTTGTATGCCTTGGTTATTTCATTATCCATAACAAGTAGAGAAAAGTTTAATGCATACCCTTTTTCAATAGAATCAGCATAACAATTACAATGCCTCGAGAAGATTTCAAGCAGAAGCAACCCTTGTTTGATTTCTTTTTGATAATTTTTTACATCTTATACATATATATACTGCCTTACAATATAATGCACACAGACAAGGCCTTGTAAGGAAAGAATTCAGGTATTCAATAGCTCCCAGAAGCACTCAAATTCAGTGCATATTAGTCAATAGTCATATTTCAGTCTTTCATGGGTGCAGAAACATATGTGCTCATATGTATCAATCTGGCATCACTGAGATCATCAATGTTGTCAATTGTGCCTGCATCTACTCTGTAACATCTCAAAGATTGACAGTCTGCCTATGGTGGTCCCTCATGAGATGTGACATATTCTTGAATAATTACCGGACCTGGCTGTGGAAATAATGAGTCCGATCAGTTCTTCCTTAGCCGGGCGGTGCAATCAGTCAGAGAAAGTCCGTCCATAATTTCACGCCGGCAGTCGGAGCAGCACACTTCATAAGTGTGCAGTCCAACATCCGCAGGCGCCTTGTCGGACTTAAGCACACCCGATGGGGAATGTTAAGCAAGCTGAGGAGAATCACAACTCACTGCAGAACCCCAGTTGTGTAAGGCATTTGCCTCGGCAAAGGCCATATCCCCGCCGGAAGCCATTTCCATCCGGTAGCTGTATATAGGGGGCAGAACCCATTGCCTGGCATCGGCCAAGCTGACGTAATACTAACATTTGGATTAATAGTCTTGAACAAGGTCACTTTTCTCGTCGTGCCGAGGCATCCATCCAGACACGATACATCAAATGAAGCATTTATGTATGTCTCATAGTCATAGCTTTCCACGTATGGATCCGATGCACGGCAAGAGGCAAAGCCAACCGGCCGGTGAGACCTGCATCCATCACGGAAACCGTGAATGACCTACGCAGACGTTGATTAATCACGTTTCGAATTCCAGCGCACTTGATATTATATATGGGACTTCCTCACCGCAATTACAAGTCAATCCACGATCAACAGGCCACAAAAACTGAAGTCACTGTCTTTTCAGCTCTCAGAGAAATTGAGACAGAATGCACCAGATATCTCCCTCGCATCTCCTCTTACAACTACTAGCCTCGCGTTTCTTTGCTAGCGTAACCGCTAGGCCAATTTTCAATGGTTCTGATGAGAGCGTTCTCTTAGCTTCTCAGATTTATCGTGTCCGCCCTGAAAGTGTGGAATACTTTGTCGCTTCACGTAGAGCCAAGAAGCGAGCGAAGTATCATCCTGTCGACGGACCAGGGAGTCTAGTGTCACATGATTCGCCGCGATCACACGGGCAGGTGGGCAGGGAACATGATCTTTTCATGGCAAGTGATACATTTTCTGCTTTTTTTACTTTTTTTGCAGCGCACTAGCTTAGATTTTGTTTCTGTAGCATGATGACAATCATTCTGGCCTGCTTCAAAGCGTAGTTGACTCTTCATGCTCAAGGAGGCCTGCAAAGCCTTCAGAAATTGAGACTGGTTGCTTAGGCAAAGAATTTGGGGAAGTCCACGTCCCCAGGGTGCAACAAAACTCTCCTGAAGGTATATTTTATATTTCTCTGTTTTTGTCCAAACTTAATTCAACCAAAAATCAACTGGAAAGTAACGTTTGGGATTTATTCATGTCTGTGTCACAACTGGTTATTATCAAAAAACTTGAATGGATTGGAAAACATGTGGGATTCAAAAACAGTCAAAATCGATGAATTTCTGGGTGGGTGATTGTGGCAATTCTGTAATGCTTATTGCGCTTGCTCCATCCATCACAGAGAATCCCAAAAGTTGAAATAAAAACATCTTGGTGCACTCCTATCTAGGAAAACCAACATTAAGACATGGAATTGATGTAAAAGGCCAGCTCTACAAAAACGCCGATGAAAATGAAGTGAATGCTCCAGAATCGCACAACAGCTCTACAGGCAATCTTTCTGGTCAGGTCAGTTGTATTTTAAAAATTCCCTCAATGCGCTGATGGTGCCAACAACACTCTGTTTTTCTGCATATTCTTGTCAAAAGACCACAAGCCAGGTACTCCACATGGACGGCCCAAGCCTACATTCATCTTCTGTGAATTCAAATTTAAGTCCTTCCAGACCCCAAACAACTTCTTCAAGCGGTGATGATGAAAAGCGAGAGTCAGTTATGACTCTTTGGCCCCCTAACACGAGTAATCAAATTAGTGTTGCGCCTGGGGTACAAAATCATCCAGGATTGGGGGCTCTTGATCCCAGTATAAGGGGATTGAATTTGATTCAGACCGATCCAAGTCCACAAGTTTATCCCACTGAAACTCAAGGTGAGTGAGGAATTTCTATCTGAAGTTGATGGTGGCCTAGCTAATCATCTGTGTGTAATATGTCAAATTGAGGAAAAGATCCAGGTGAATCTACTCCATTACAATATGTTCCAATTGGAAGTTCAATTAATCAACACCTTCCAGAAAACCTCGCGCCATTCCCGAACCAAGATTCAAACTTTGAGACATCGCTTCCGCAACTTGTTCAACAGAAAAATCACGGACATGTACCCAAACCTGTGTTCGACTCCAACACAGTCATCCTTCAGGAATCTTTAAACTTTGCCAAATTGGGTGAGAATGTAGTAGAAGCGATCAGAACAAACGTTGGTGGAAAGAGACCGCTGGGTATTGAACCGTATCAATGGTTGCCCTGGGTGATCTATGAAGTTCCAGAAGAAAATAATGAAGCAATTTTGGTCAAGTGGATTCTTAATCAAGAAACAGGTTCTCCTTGCCCTCTAGAAGATCTGGCCTTGTCATACTTATATTTGGTTTCACATATAACTCACTACAATATTGCTCTCATGAGGGAATGCAATAAGTATCATGTGGGGCTGGACAATGCTATCAAGAACACCCTAGAGCTGCTCAAGTGGTTGAGTGACCTGATTTTTTCCTCCTCTGAAAGTAGCTCTATCCTAGGGGCTTCTAATCATCAAGGTGACCATAAGGGTGAAAATATTGATATACTTCAGATGATGTTGGTCTATTATTTGTCCAACCGCAAAGCAGATACAAGTCTTTCCCCAAGGGTGGCTGCAAATGTCATTGCTTTTTGGCATCATCAGGATCAACAACGTTGGGAAGCACTCTTCCAAAACACCAATAACATCTCCCTTTTCATCGATAGAATGATCCAGGACAAGAAAGTGGAATCAGACATCCTCATGGCAATTATGAAAAATAAAGATTTGCTACCTCAAGATACTAAAGCAAGGATGTTTGAGAGGGAGAGAGCTTCAATAAATTCACAGGCCTGACGAAATACTACTTAAGTAACCATTTGAAGACTGGATCTATTCATTTCCTATTTGCATGTTTCTGTTTTGGTTTTTCAATTTTTTGTTTGGTGGTTTGAAATAAGAAAACAACAAAAACACAGAATCACACTTAAATGAAATGAAATTCAAAGGACTCTTCAGATATCAGGATTTATCATATTCTACTCCAGATTAATTATCAAATAAATACTTCCACAGCTCCGTCTTTCATATTTAAATTGATCACTAAGCTACTTTTTACTTTTTTTACTTTTCACCAGCAGTGACATTGCAATTGATCCTGAATTAGTTTCAATCAAAGTTTTGATGCAATATGGAGTGTGCCTAATCTGAAATTCCATGATTTCTTGCTAGACTTCAAATTTATTTTTGAAACCTTACAGACAGTTTGGTTATGGTAAGCTGTTGTGGATGCCAATGATGGAAAAAATGAAATTAGCCAATCTGTTGTGTTATGCAGTTCTGGAAAAGATTGTCACCTCCAAGGAGGTTTGGTGTTTTTCTAAAATTCCTTGACATAAAAAACCTGCCTGAAGTTACATACAAGTCTACCAATAAGTTTTGTCTTTCATGATTTTTGCTCACAAATATGCTTTCAGCTTGTGTGGTTACATATTGATATGTCATGCTGTAATCAGTTGAAATTTTGTATTATCACCAAATTTTTGCAATGTTGTGTTACCAGAGGATCATTCTGCAATTCCTAATTATGAGCTGGCTGTCTTTTCTGTAGGATTCCTACATACTACATATCCTCTTGAGTCTTGGGAGTCAGTGGTGGTGGGTACCACAAAAGATCACATTAAAGGTTGAACACGTGGTTCTTCCTATTTCATTCCAACCGTTCCTGCTTACTATTTTCATTGCTTATTTCCCCTCTCACGGTTCTGCTTCCAGCTATTTCCTTCCAACTCTCTGCCATTGCTTGTCTGTAGTTGACTTTTCCCATCTCTTTGCGATTATTTGTAGTTGAGGGCATTCTCAATCAGTCAAAGCATACCCTTATCGCATTGATTGACCCGTGCGACTGGTTGGCTGAGCTTGGCTGACTGACACGTGAGTCAAGGGCGATAAGGCAAAACTTTAATATGTGTGGATGGTGGTGGGTTTCAAACTTTGATGTGGGTGTATCAGGGTGTATCCGGCCGCCCGGACCCGGTGTATCCTATCTGGTGCCTCGGTTACGTAATCGGACCTCGACCCGACTCCCGAGTCCACCATCATTATCTGTTCCTCTTGTTGACCGTTTTACACCCATCCTCTCCATCTCCATCTTCTTCCCTCCCACTGACCCTCCAGCTTATCCACCAACCAACCAACCAACCAACGAACAACGACTCAGCAAGAATTCAGAATACAAAGAATAACATACCAACAACATGCAAGCTAGCGTCGGACTCGAACTCATCAGCTCAACCTGGGCTCATTCCATCCACAATCACAAATCTTCTATCAGCTCACAGCCAACCCTGACCGATGATGACCACAACCAATCATCATCATCATCATCATCCCTATCCGATCTAGAAGACGAATCAGAACCTCCAGTCGAATATTCTGCCGCCCCGGTGCATGCCGAGGGCGTACCCCAATCTAATACCAAACTATCTGCAAAGTCAGTCAGATCTCTTTCCCCCTTCTGATTCATCTAGCGATCTACACAAGAAACTAATGATCCCATAAAACCCTCCATCAGGAAATATCGTACCCCTGAATTTGGTGACAGTCTATTCGAGCTCCTGCGCTCTCAACTCAAGCTGCCCGGATGGTCAAACCTCTCTGATCAATACAAGTCATCAATCACAATCTCCAAAGTCAGCGGAAGTCTCACCAACGCCGTCTTCTTCGTCTCCTGTACATACAACTCAAGCAGTCAACCAGCTATCCAACTACCCGACCAAGAATCGCCACCCACTGTGCTCTTACGAATCTATGGTCCATCTTCGGGCACATTGATCTCTCGCAAGGAAGAATTGCATCTTTTACATACCTTATCCGCTAAATATGGAATCGGGCCCTTGTTACTCGGCACGTTTGATAACGG